TTCCTCCAGGCCTGACGGTTCCTGGAGCTGTCACCAGAAACCTGGGTCTAAAGAATTCCCAACAAGGAAAAATACAAAGTTTTTTTATCCTCCCCTCACCATTCTTTTGTGATCCTCAAATTTTATAGACAGTGAGACAGACCCCCTATATTGTGCCAAATGCAATTGTTCCAATTAATACTGCCCTGCTGCTCCATTTAGCAGCTGCACTGAAATGCCATTGAAACAATAATTCCCAGAAATTAATTTTAATGCAGTAATTCATGTACCACTAGAGTAGAACCTGTGTTATTACTTCCAAACTACAAACAGCACAGGATGAGCCTCCATGTAGATGGCTTACACTGGGGGCGTGCAGAAGTTATTGGCAATGTGCAAGCCTCTAAACTTCTATTTTACAGATGACCTCATCCCAGGGTGACTTTTTTTTCTTGGCTTAAAACACACACACACACACACACACACACACACTCACACACACACGCAAGTACATACACACAGATTTTGCCTGTTTCTTATTCTAACCTTTATGTTTGGGCATTTGCCCAAGAAAAGATCATCTAACCAATACTACTGATTGAAATATACCATCAGACATTAAACTATCAGTGGTAAAATTTCCAGGTGTAGCAGAGCATAAACAGCACTTTCTCTGCCTAAGCTAGGGGTTAGGGCTCAACTACAAAAACCTTGAGGAGTGGGGCACTTTCCAGTATTTGGGTGCCTCCGTAGTTACCTTTCTACAGCGTCTGCACCTGAACCACACATCAGCCACCCAAGACACACTTTGCCCATGCCAGAGGTTGAGAAAAACTAGCACCATTTGTCTTTGAGAGAAGAAGGCAGGCACATTATTTGGGAGCAAACGGCTGAGAAAATGCAGAGGCAACGTGGACTAAAAATGATTCTCTTTAGAAAGTAGTTATGGCCAGAAAAAACTCTTAAACAACTTCAAGGGTGAAGAAAATAACTATCTCATGGAAAACCAAGCTGAAGGGACACATGGTAAAACCACCAGGCCAGTGCCTGGCTGAGGGCTGCCGCCGCGGGGCACTTCCCACCCCCTGCTGCACAACTGCTGCTCCTCCCGCTGCCCGCCC